TGCTTCGCAGCAGTCATATCATATGCAATTAAGCTACAAGCCACAGTTGTGTCTAACATCTGCTTAAGATAACAACCCAGCAGGATGGAAAAGGACATGAGACTTTTCCCCCTTTGTTTCTACTAATGGTTATGTTTGTTGCTCACAGAAAAGGTCTGCAAGTCTTTATAGGCAATTCCACTATCAATGCCTGCAGTTGATGAAAGGAGCAGTCATACAGGAACATGCAGGGAACATGAGGTATACTGTATATGGAGCAGATCACAGTGGACAGCTCTGATTTCCACATCAAAACTCTGTAAGACTGATGGTGGAACTTTTCAGTCTTTGAAGCCAAACAGAAAATAGCTCACCTATCTTATTACTGGAGCGCTGGCAGAAATGTCAGATATGTCAAATTTTAGATGAATTAAACCAAAACTAATATATCCAGATAACACGTAAGGTAAGAGAGGAATTTCCGTTTGTGATTTGGGCAAATTGACCCTTAAGAAATGTTTATTTTTTTGCCATTGGTAATAACTTTCAGATTGTGCTGTGAGTAGTTATAGAAAAATACAAGAGTATATCAGTTGACATATTTGATAACAGGAGACTTTTGACACAAAAAGGGGGCACACCGGCTGTTTTACCAGCACATAGTTGAATAAACAACTGAACCAGGGTGCCAAACAGCTTTAAAGGTTAAACAACTAAAACATAAACAGATGCATGCACACACACACACACACACAACAAAACCGAACCTACCCTCAGGCTGCTTTCAGTTGTGTGCAAGACAGGTGGTGAATGCTATGACCGCCTGTGACACTGAGCTACTAATCACACTTGTTTTCTCAGTAAAAGTGAAGCGGTGCAGCGCTCAAAGCACCAAACTGTGTTGAAATAGGCTCATTTATGTCACTGGAAAATGTTGCTTTGTGCCCTAGAAAATATCAGTGCCATTATGTTGTGACGGGTCTTTAATCTTTCCTTCTCTCGCTCTTTCTCGGTTTTGTCTTAATGGAGTGCATGTGTCATTGTGCATTTGGTGTTTTCATTAAAAAAGCTAAAGAATTTGTCTGTGCTCACCTCTAACTGTGTCTGGAATGTCCCAGTTTGCAAGTTGTCTTTAGCTAATAGGGACATAAAATGGTGGAATGTCTGAACAAGATGGAGAAGAGGTTCTTGCACTATTCTGGGATCCTTTGTACAATCTCCCTTTTCCTTCAGGCTTGATTAAATCTTGATGGGATGTGAATTCAGTCATGAACAGCTCTCATCCCTTTATTATATAAATTAAAAAGGAGGGAAATACTCAAAAACTGTCTTTTCAAACTTGAATGAATATCATCACCGCACCTCAAATTTAATTAGGGATTGTAGAACAAGCTGGACAAGACATCCGATAAATAATGAAGAATATCTTTTGGAAAATAGGTGTTCCATCCCTCCAGTAGAGTTCAGAGACGTGAAGGATGAGGCCACTCGTTTTCTATATTAATTATATTTTCTCCAACTAGAGACTATAACTGACAATGAATTGCCTCAGCTCACAGTTCATGTCTATCAGCTGTCAGGCCTGGATCAGCTTGTTCGTCCATGCGATAGATCTCTGTTGTTGCTTAAAAACACATCAGGGAAACGCACACGGCTGCACTGGGTGATGTGTTTTACTGTAATGAAGCACCAGGCCCAACTACGCTGCCCCACAGACCATAATTCCCTGAAGTTAGTATGAGTCAGAGTCAACTGTACATGTGTGAGATTTGGTGCAACCTCTCGCTTGGGCTACTGTGATTCAGTAGGTAGAGCAGCTGATCCAGGACTGACACACTGACAGACATGAACCGTGAGTAGAGGCAACTCACTGTCCGATTTAGTCTCTGTATGGAGATTGCTGAAATAACTATTGATATAGCAAATAACCAGCCTTATCCTTTAAAGGATAAGGATAATCACCTTTTATTTGGCCAAGTATGTTACACACAAGGAAGTGTGTGAGTAGAGCAGTCATCTCCCAATCTTGGTGCCTGCAGTCCACATGTCGAAGTGTCCTTGGGCAAGACACTGAATCCCCAAGTTGCCCCTGAGGGTTAGAGCCATCAGGTGAGTTGGTGCTTGGTTCTGTACCAGAGACAGCTTCCTTGTGTGTGTAACGTACTTGGCCAAATAAAGGTGATTATCCTTATTTCCTGTAGACTTATCCTAACCTTAACCATAACCACTACTTGCCTAACACCTAACACTTAACCAAACACCTAACCCTAAACCACGTTGACACCTTAAAATTCAGTGATTTACTTGTGGAGACTAGCTTCTGGTCCCCACAAGGACGGCCTCATGATGTAAGTAATACAAAGGCACACACACACATTTCATTCCATGATTTCACATATGCCAAGGACTCGTGATGAGGCACTTTGACTCATAATTGCTTTCATTCTTCAGACATCTTGCCTCTGTAGTCTGCTCCGATCGTTTCTCCACATCACTCTGTGTTCTCTCTTCCTTTTCTTTCTCTCCACACCCTCTGCCTCTTGATTTTTTCTTGCTTCTTTCGGTTTTCGTCAGCTCCCCTCTCTGTGCATCACTGCAGCACCAGTGTCAGAAACCATGCAAACTACAGCCTGTTTCTCTTTGTCTTTTTGTAATTGCCATCCTCATATGTCCTCTTTTTTCTGACAAGACAAGGACCATTTAACACTACAGAACATACCCAGAGGGGTGCACTGCACCATACAAGCACAGAGATGGGGGGAAAAAATGAAAATTATATGCAAAATGGTGACTCTGTTGAAAACAGCTTGTTGATTGCAAAGCCTAAAACGCCACTTACATTTAATCGACAAGGTTTATTACAGAAGGGAGATTAACTGTTGTAAGGAAACAATGTTCTGCTGTTGACATAATGTCAAACTGTTTTTACTTAACAAATTTAGCAACTATAGATAGCAGACTGTGAAATGATTAGTCTTCCCAGGGATGGACTGGGACATAAAATGAATGAGAGGAGTTAGCTCCAAGCTGCAGCCTGATAGGGTTGTGCCTGTATCCTAATGATGCCAGTTTGGAGCTGTGCTTTTGTTGATTGTTTTATAGCAGGAGATATGAACAGGTAGAGGCTGGAAAAACTTAGAAACACTGTGTAATAAAAATCTTGTTCTGTTTTTCATCAATCACACACGGTCTCCAAAAACCAGCCACAACTGGAGATCTGACCAGATGAGCAGGACGTGATTGTTCTGTCAAATGTAACAGACGACATTAGTGTGCCAAAATTAGGATGCTAACATACAGTAGACAGTTCAAACAAGGACTAAGCAGAAACCAGATCCAGGGGGGTAAACAGATGGAGGCAAACAGGGAGCAGGCAGACTCAGTTCCACAACAATTCAATTTCAGGTCAATTCAGTTTTATTTGTATAATGCCAGTTCACAACAGACGGAACAAAAATTATCTCAAGGCAAGAAAAACCCAACAAATCCCCCTTCAGCAGGCACTTGGCAACAGTGTGGAGGAAAAATTCCCTTCAGTGGAAGAAAAATTCAGCCAGAGCTTTGTTTGGCTCCAGCAGTTCTGCAGGTCAAAGTTCAACATCTAAAGTCCACGGTTTACCAGCAGAAACAATGTTGTCTTGACAGGTTGTTAATTGAAAAAGGAGCCATCAGTGATTTTAGGAAAGCCACTGTGTTCTGTACAGTACCACGCTTTTAACTGCAGCATCACCCTGCACAGTGTTTTCTCAGGTAAATTTCTCTCCAGTTAAACAAAGATGACAACAGGACATGATGTCATCTATCCTACTTTCTTTTTGTGAAATTCCAGCCCTGTCAATAGTCAAGGCACTTTCACACAAAGCCACCGTGGTGACATCATTTCTTGTCACAATCTTTGTTTATATAAAAAAAACTGAACAAAGAAAAGAAACTGAGCATAATTATATTTTTCCTGAACCGGACTGGATTATTTATTTATTATTTTACTTAAGTTCAACTGGGAATTCTTTATCGCCTCAAGCAGCAATTTGAGAAAAGCACGTTTGCAAACAAAAGAACAAAAGTGGCAGCACTGTGATAGACCGACATGTCCTCAGTGTGACCTGCCTCTCGCTCGGTGTGCTGGAATCGACTCCAGCCACCATGACTTGACACGAGTAGTTTAAAAGATGGATTAATAGAAACCAGAGGCATGCCCTAAATACATCCTTTAGATGGTGTTGAGACTCACTATCAATCTCTGGCACTTGTTGCACTGGTTTTTAATGTGTAGGTGATTTTCACTTCCCAGAAAACACATTTCAAGTCTCTGTCTGGAACAATGGAAGGAAAATTCTTTTTGGTAACATGGCAGGATGCGGACAATCAGTGCCTTTTGAAGAGTGGCTCCCTTATTTCCCTCGAGTAGACATTTATCAGCCTTTTGTGTTCTCTGGTCTTCCTACAGTGAACGATACTGGGGGACAGTGCCAAAGTGGTCATTTCTGGTAAAGCACAGGACGCAGCCCAATGTTTTCTGATGTCATTGTCAGTGTCTAGTCGAAGAAACTCAACCTGACTAGACTAGTCCTGACGCTGAAGATCCCAGCAGTGTGAGGACACTGGTAGCACCTTCTAGAAGCAGCTATTAATTCCTTTAGACAGTAGCTTTCACTGGCTCATTAATATGGTAATGAAATCCTTAACAAGGTGTCCCAGAATAGAGTAATCTGGCATGACTGTAGCAGTGGTGTTATCATCCCAACAACATACTCCCAAAACTGGTAACAGCTTCCTGGTCCTCCACTCAGCTTCCTCAAAGCTGCATAGTGGGAATAGAAATCACATCACAGAAGTCTGTGCTGGTGTGGGTGTGTTGCTATAGGTGAGAAGAAATTAAATGTAAACTAGGAGGTCCAGTTTGAGAGCGTAGCAGAGTGTGAGACATAATATGCAGTACAAT